AATGCCTTTTATAATAAAATACTGGGGATCACTGGATTGTATATGGTAAGCTTTTCCATTTATGATTAATAAATACAGATTGTATTTAATAACAATATCACTTGGTTGCTATAAATACAGAATTTTAAAAGATTTAAATGTTTATATACTATTCTAATTAAAAATTTTAAAAAAATGGAAACAATTATTGTAAAAAATTATTGAAAATTGTTTTTTGATAAAACAATAATGTGCATTTTGTATTTTATTCATAAAAGCAATTAAAAGTTTTTCTAATTAATTCTTTTAATGTTTCATTGTTTTCTGTATTTGTAGTGAGCCTTGATCTCATTTCTAGACTGTTGGCAAAAGTGAATTTCTGCCTAAGTGGTAATAAAATCATTAGGTTTGGTCTGAGAGGTGGTGATGATAGATATGTTGATGAGAGATATTTTCCTATCCCTACCCCTTGAGACTGTCAAATCTATTTACATTTTTGTGCATCGTATGTGTGTGTGTCCCCATTAGCTTGCACATGAATCAGCATGCACACACACACACACACACACACACACACATTCCTCCTGTGTTGTGTAGGGCTCACGTGTATGCTCATGAGTAGTCAATCTGTTTTTGCCAGTGTATGTATATATATTTTTGTTCTCCATGGATACCTGTTTGTGCATGCATACATGTATGCATTTGTGCAGTCCGACCAGTATATCTGGCCATGATGTGTACATGCCGTGTGTCCATGTGTGTGGGCTTATGATCTATTTAGTGCTGGTTTAAATTTGTCTATGAAATTTTTTTCTTGAATTTGTAAGAAAGAGTAGTTGTCTGTTTGGTCTATTGGCATAATTTTAAATTTGCCTTGATTGCATTTGTATGTGTTGCAATACAAAGAGAAATAAAATAGCATTTAATACTGGCAGAAACATATTAAACATATTTAATAACTAATCCTCCAATGAAAAACATCAATCCCCCCTTACCAATAATGAACTAACCCAATAATATTGTCTAATATTATCTATAAAACGAAAAGAACCAATAACATATCTCCAAATTAAAACAAATGCCATAATGATGGTTGAGGACAACCAAAAGCACTCAGCAGAAAGCTATTGACTGGGATACTACTTTAACAAAGTAGATCCAAGCATTAAGATACTTGCGAGGAAGCAAGAAAAACCCGAGAAAAAGATCATCAAGCGGAAAAGTTCTGTAGTCTTTAATAACAGATGCATATATATATATATATATATATAGCACCTGAGGATACCATAAGGTTGAAACCAAGGTAGCAGATTTAACTGACCTCCTGATTTTTTGTATGTGTGTATATATATATATATATATATATATATATATATATATATATATATATGTGTGTGTGTATATATATATATATATATATATATATATATAACTTAGGTTATAAGAAAGATATAACACCAAAAGAAAAGATCATTGTCACATAATTATGTAATGTCCCATAAGGTAATTATATGAAATTTTAGTGCTTTTTAAAACCAGGTGCCTGTTTCAAATTATGTACCTTGGTAAAATCTGACAGCTCAACTTTGTAAGAGTTTTATCTTTCAAAAGGTCTACCAAGTTACAGGTATATCAAATAAATTAGGTACAATTTCTACTCCAATCCAGAAAGGTAATTTTATAACTAGCATTTATGTTGAATGTTTTTAATGATTAAAATTAATAACCAGTTAAATTTAACTTAAAATTGTTATATTTTATAAGATTAACATCATTGGTTGATTAACAAAAAATCAGTATAGGAAAGCAATTGGAGATAAAAATGTAAGATAAAAAAGGTTGAGGATACTAGCTGTAGTAAATAAAAAAATTACAATCATCACATCTTGATATTTTTATGTTACACCTTCAATAAAATCAAAACAAAGCAAAGAAAGCAGCATGAAGAGAAAGGTAAAAGTTTTTTTTATCAGAGGCAATTTCTGCAAAAATCAAACTGGCAGACAGCTAGCAAATAAATATAAAAAATTAATAAAATACAGATTAGTGAAGTACCAAAAATCATAAAAGTACATGCATCCCAAAATTTTAAAATTTTGGAGGATGTTAGTCAAGTAAAAAATACAAGAAAATAGAGAAGGTAACAACTATTTCTTTTAACACCCAATCATTAAAGTGATGTTAAAGAAAATAATCGCTAATAAATTTAACATCCCATGAAGACTGTTTTTATAGGTATATTTAAATGATATATTATTTCATCATCTTGAGTTGGTTAAAGACAGCATATTCAAAATGATAAGCAGAACAATGACATAGAAACAAATTATGAAAATGTGATGACACTTATTCAAAAACTACTTTATAATATATGAAAAATATAAGTCAGAATGTAGGTTTTGAAGTAGATTGGTTAAAAAGTCAAAAGAATCAGATCATTTGTTAGGAAAAATATTTAAAAAAGTTTAGTAAACACAGTGACATATACAAAAAATTTTATGGAGTCAGAGGTTAGTAAAAAAAAAAATAAAATAATAAATCACCAATTGTGTGTTCATGCCACTAGCTGTAAAATCATCTTAGATCAGTCAAGGGAGATAATTATTATATACTGTATATTGGAATTTGTCAGAATGCAATCAATTTTCCCATAGCTTAGCTGACTGAAAGATACCTAATCAGAAGGTAAAATTAAAATTATCACCCAATTGAACAGATTAATCATAAAGTTATTATTAAAGCGATAGAATATTCTATATTTCTAAAATAATTAATATGACTTCATTTATCTGATAATTTATATTTGATCTTTATGGCAATTAGTGAATCTGAATAGCTAATTTACATCATCTTGTAATTGGTCTATCTGTTATCTATCAAATTTTGATTGGGTTCTGTGTAAGTGATTATTCTACATTCATTTTAATTTGAAGTCTTAAACATTAATCTTTGTGTATATAGCACTTAATTTAACTTAAAGGCTAAGTGAAAATCAGTATAAGAGAGTGTTGTAAATTCCTGGTTTAACCCAGAATGGATTTTAAAAAATTCTTATGTTTGATCATTTGGTCAGATATTTGGAAATGGGTTGGGGCTGAGAACTTTTCAGCATAGCTTTATGCAGTTTGCGAGTGGGATTTAAAGTCAGTTTTAGAATTATGGAACACTTATATCCATATGTGGTGATAGATGGAGTAACTGAAACAAAATCAGAAGTAAATAAATAGACAACAAAACAAAAATAAAAAAGGATCTAAGGAAAATGAAACAGAAAATTTTGAAAGCATACTCTAGTAATGAAAGAGAAAATGAGAAGAAAAAGATGAATGATTAGAAAGGAAAAAGGATTATAATGTAAAGAATGAAAGAAAAGAATAAAATATCAATGATAACAAAGAGACATTAAGGAAAAAGAAGTGAAAGAATGAAAATCTAAATTAAAAAAAATGATATAAGACTAATAAGAAAAAATTATAGATTATCATAGAGAAACAAAATGCACTAAGGTTCCAAATAGTAGGAAAAAGAAAGCAGACTAATATCAGAGTATGAGAAGTAATAAAAGTCATTTGATAAAGTGTTAGTCACAAAAACTGACACAATGTTGACATGTTTGTGTCTGCATGAAGAGAAGAGCATTGAACAGAGATATGTAAAGAGATTAAAAGAGAAGAGGAAGTTAAGAAAATAACTAAAATAAAAGCTAGGTTTCAAGGAAAACAATTTCAACTGACACCTGATCAAAAACTTATTGGATAATAAAAGAAAAGCAGAGGTAATAAATAACTTTAGAGAAGTAACATTATGCAACAATTTTATGCCTGATTTGAGTAATAATTAAATCTCTAACTCTGGTGACTTTCTGTAGATTTAAAACTGATACCTCAAAGAAAAGGTTCATTTTTGTAAGTTATTTTAGTATGCCTATCAGAGAAAATTTTCACTTTTTCTTGTTAAAATTTACCAAATGGCAAGCAGCAATTATATACAGACTCAAAAGTCTGTCAAATTTGTCTGTTCAACCAATGATAATTTAAAGTTCCTATATATATATATATATATATATGTAAAATGGATTGAACAATTACAGTATTACAATATAACATGAATCAGCTAAGTTCCAAACGTGTGTGTGTGCGTGTGTGATTACTACAAATCAAATTTGGGACTTGGCTGATTCATGTTATATTCAGCACCTTGATGCTAGAGTTTTGGAGATTAACTTTTCTGTGATTGTTCAATCCATTATATATATATGTGTGTGTGTGTGTGAGAGAGAAGAATTAATTTAGTAATTAATTAATTAATTATGACCAAATGTTCCAATTCTCACTTTAATTGTAAACTGGTTAGTCAGAATATTAAATTACTATTTCTAGCACAGGAAAACATTTTTATCAGCAAGCATTTTATAAAGAATAACAAGACTAAGTAGATAATTATATATTATTAATTTACAAAATTTGTTCATAATCTTGCTATTTTCAAAATTATAAACTTTTCAGCTACAAAATTTTTCATGCTTATTAATTGTACTTTTTAATACTCCACATATTTTATTATTTTATCTTTCATGGTACAATCTATCGATATATACATAAGTTACCAATACAAAAATACTAAATATAAAAACTGTTTGAAATTTTAAAAAATTACCCCCTTTACTATTTTAACTAATTGCATCTGAGAAGTATTCAAATTTCAATAGACAATATAAAGAGATTATAAATTGAATATAATAATGAGTGCATCCTTTACAATTAAACATTGTAAATTATCTTGTTTATTTTGTGTCTTGAAGCATTTATTGGATACAACAAAGTAAAACATTCATTTATAATTTCTTATCAACTAAGTCAATTCTCCATCTTACAATCCAGTCAATTTTCTATTAATTTATAAAAACTATTGTTCTGTCAACTATCAATATTTCCTAATAGCACTACAAGAAAGATGGTAGTAGATAGATAATTTAGCAAGGGCACACCATAAACCATGCTGCAAGAATAATATGAACATGCCTGTGTCAGAAGATGGATTGGGTGTAGCTGCCGAGCCTGATGCTCCCTCGTTCCAAGTGCTACCTCGCTTCACAGGCCCGGATGCTAAGGAAAAATAATAGGAACATATCACACCCTGAATTCTGAATGATAAACTGTTGAAAAAACAATATTGGTGTGGAGGAGAATGACGAATTCATGATAAGGACAAAACTATGTTAACATATGTATGATATGCATACATTGAGATAAGTATATGTATTTATATACATACACAATATTGTGAGGTTTTATAAAAATTTTCTGCTTATACAAAGTGGTAAAGCATAAAATTATAATTATAAATGATGAAATTGCACAATATATTGTAAATAATATTATGATAGAAGTATAAAACATGGAATTATTGAAAATATGGATAAATGTACCTGCAATAAAACGGAATGTCAGAAGGATGGTTTTTCCATTGAAACTGCTTTTTAACTACCTTCACTATTTGACAATGTTTATTGATTTAAAAAACAATTAAAATTGTAATAAAATCTAAACATGTGAAATTGAATTTATATATTTTCTTTGTTCTTGAGAATTGACAACAAAAATAATAAACACTACTTATTTATTAGATTGTTTTTACCATATTTATTTTTATTATTTATTGGAATGGTTGGAAAAACATTGGCTATTTGCCAAATGATTCAAACTTTATAAAATGCTAAATAATAAGGATTTCCTTATAGTTGGTTCACATATTTTAGTAATTTAGTAAATGTTTATAAATTTATGAATAAAAATTATTTTCATATTTATTTCTTTATAAATTGATAAATGATAAATATTGTATTGCAATATTACATCATATTAGTTTTTGAAATGCAAATATAAAATTATTCTTGTAAATAAACACACTAATAAATATAATATAAAATCTCTAATATAAATGATTAGAATTAGAATAAAATTTTTAATCATCACTTTTTAAAACAAACATTGTCAAAGAGTGAAGGCAGTTAAAAAAGCTGTGTCATGGGAAAATGTCCTTTTGACACTACATCTTAATGAAGGCATATTTAGCTATGCTTGCCAAATTATTAATTGTTGGGATGTAATATAACACCTACAGTAAACAGACTGAGGATAGTAAAATGTCATGGCAGCAAGATAGGCAATATGTCATAACTAATATTATTAAATAATAGAAATGCTAGACAAAAAGTTATAGATTTCCTAACAATAGAGATGTCAACTAACATGTTTCATAGAGCAAATAACATTGATAAGGGGCTCTTAAAAGGCATTTCTAGATATACGAATACTTAAAATTTTATGATATCATTAATGAATGCTAATGATATTAAAATATTTTTCAATAGTCTATAAGTGAAATATAAAATGTATACAAGTATAAAAAATCAGAAAACTCATGTGAAAAACATAAAACATAAGAATGATGTGGAAAAAACTAGTAAACATACATGATTTAATGGATGATAAATTGGATGTTAAATTGCAAAATTAATAAAAAACTCAAAGAAAAATATATAAATGATACTATAGTAAAAATATAAAGTGATCTGAATATGAATTTGGAGATAAAATGCAAAGTAGAAGAAATAACAATATTTGAAAGAAAATGAATAATTCAAGAAGTTGTGGAAATGGAACTTTTGCAATTCTCAGCTTCTGTCAGGTGTTAGTCATATAAGCAATAGTCAGAAATGATTTCAGTTTATAATTTATTGTAATAATAATTATAAACTAATCCTACATATAAGTTACAAAAAACTAATAACAAAAAAACAAAAGTCCTTTTCAACATATGCTTTTCTTAGAGTGTTAAATGTTGTTAAAAATGTGTCAAAAATTATAAAAAAAAGCATATTTGAACATTTGCAATATGTAACACAAGTAAAATCCTGTTAAAATTTTAAACAAAAATGTGATTATATATATATATATATTGAATAAATAAGCTTTAGTTTATTTTGTTTATTCTTATCAACACTAATAGAAAATAAAGTTTCTGTTAAATACTGAATTTAAGTGATCTTAAATAGCAGAGATTTTACTGAGACCAGTATGTGCTTTTATATTAAGCTAAATAAGGAATCTAATTCTGATATTTATGTGTCATTGAAATATAAACCCATTTATTCACAGTAAGAGAAAGACTACATTTCTGGAAAATAAAATTACTTTTATGAAAAAAAATACATTAAAACAACCCCAACAAAGAAGTAGAACAATGAAACAAAACATCTTAACCATTTTGTACATAGTATGTACAAAATGGTTAAGATGTTTTGTTTCAACAAATTCAAGCATACACACACGCATATAGGAAAAGTATTTGGTATAAATATGCATAAATAAATATTATTTCATTCATAAATTATACACATGAATAGATACCCTACTGCCACCAATCTGGATGACATGTCATTAGCATTTGCTGCTATTGGGCTGCTGGCATGTTAATCTTGGCAATGTTACTACTGGTGAACTGCTAGTGGCTCACCAGCAGGCCACTAGTGGATTGCATGTAGGGTAAATGAAAATGCCAAAGTCATTAAAGGAGACAAACATTTATTCAGAATACAATCATTACAATAACTAATCATTTTTCACAAAAAAGATGAGCCTATATATTGAGAGAGTAAAAATGTCAATCAAAGAGATAAATTTTTTCATTATAAAATATATATATATATATATATATATATAGAAAAATGAATCAGTAAACTAAATGTAGAAACTTAGAAATATTTATACTTGGGTTGACGTCTCTAGAATTGTATAAAAATAACATATTAAGAAAATAAACAAGAGCTGGTTTCTTGAGGAAGGTGTTAATTTTTAAGTTTGGTTTTAAATATACTGTGTTGGCTTAAGATTGTCTCTCTAGAGTAACTGTAAATAGCATAGAGGAAAACATTTGATATTAAATATTTTTGAAGTTATAATTCTTAATTTAGGTTGAATATTTGATTATTTTCACAGGTCCATATATGCAAAGAAAGATTATTTTTGTTAAAGCATCATACAATCACACAATCATATATTTTGTCAAGTAATAAAAGGAGTTCTATTAAATAGGTACTTCATGTTGCTCCACTTAATTGAGGCTGACTCCAAAAACTAGTGAATTATTTGAAAAATGAAGAAATAATAATAAAACTGAAATAGATAAGAGAAGTAAAAAGAAAATTGATTGGCAAAAAAGATGGGTTTAGGTGAATAGTTTTTTATGACCTTTTTTTAGCATACATTCCTTTATATTCGTACTAAGAAATTCATCTTCGTTGTCATACTCAGTACAATAAACACCTAAAGAAAGCCAGAGGGTATAACAGCTGAAGTGCTGTGAATATCACAACAAAGGCGTGTTTCTTTATCTGCATATAAAAGCATATAATAATAAATCCTCATCTAAAAATGTCCTGTTTCAAATGTTTTAGTTTGTTTTGATGGCACAATTCATCTTCATTCAAATTTGTACCTAGGATCCCACACACACTCAATTTCCAATGTAAAAGAGGGCAAAATTATCCTGTAGTCCAACAGGTTTTTTTCTTTTAATTTATGTAGTAGAATCACATCAAAGTTACTAATATAAACAAGCTGGTGCAAATGATTTTTCAGATTTGATTTGAATATTTTCAGTATGTTGGTTATTGCCTGCATTTTCCAAATCTTTATTTGATCACTATCAACCTCAACTGGTTTATTTGACTGCGAAGCATCAGTCAGCAAATGTCCAACATGAAACATGCAAACTACTTTTGACACATTCCATCATTCACAGTACCTTTTCCTTAAACTGCACAAAAGGTTATATTTTTACTTTTTTAAAGTAAGAAAGCATATGTTCGTTTTTTTTCTGCAATATTCAATATCAGAATCAATAAACAAAATATCTTCACCAATATGATAGGTATCACATTACAATCTTTTTAATGTAGTTAAAATGAAATACTGTTAATTCCAACTAAATTAACTTTTTCGCCACTCAAAAGTTCAATTTTGACAAATTTTTTTTGTTTTATTTTGTCAATGAAAATTTCACTTATAATTAGAAATAACTTAAAGATTTATTTTACAATAAAGTAAGGGTAAAGATTGCCTTAAAAATGTATTGACAAACAGGTCTAAAAATTAGAACTATAAAATGATAGAAAGAATTAAAGTCCAAAAGCAAGCAGAACTTTTTATTCTAATAGTCAATACTAACTTTTAATATGTTGCTGAGTGGAACATATATGAAATATTCATTCAAAACTTGGAAGTTACAATACAATGAAATGAGAAAAAATATTTCATTAATCTTGAGAGATAATAATGAAATAATTTTTTTATTGATTTTAATAATCCAGCAATCTTTGAAGAAAAGTATACTTATGTTTTGTGGAGTAAATAAACTTTCAACAAATATACAAATAATCTCTATAGTGATTCATTTTCTCCATAAGAATTTTAATTATAACATTAAAACATAATCACAATTGTATATAAACTATGACAAATTCGTGTTTTAATGAAGAAAAACTGGCAACTTTTTTTAAAACAATATTACAATTCTGATTAACCACATGCTTGTGACAGAATTTTGAGGACATTTGACAATCAATCACCAGAGTCATATAAGCGAGTTTATATATATGTGGACATTATTTAAAATAAAAAATAAATTCAAAGAAAATTATTTGTTTACCCTAATACCTTTTTCCTATTTTTATTCTCTCTACAGAAACCACAAGTAATGCCAACAGAACCCAAAATCCTTTCCAAAATCAGCCATCTTTGAAGGGAAAAAAAAAAAGAAGGTAGATATCTAGATAAAAAAAAATTGGAAGAAGCTGAAAATATTCATGCAAATTGTATCAAGAAAATAGCAAAAACAAAGAAGTTCAAATCCACTTACATGGTTTTCGAGAGGGCGGAGGAATCCTTGAAGCCATAGATTGAGGCACCTTGTCTCCAATCAATTCAACACATTCGCCAGGAAAAAATCCAACCTGTAAAAAATAAGATTTAAAATTAAAAATAGGAAGATGAAACAGAAAATTTGGGATTGTAAACAAAATAGGCTTTATGCTGCACAATAATGTAAAAGTTACTGGTTCACACATTTTAAGTTAATACATTTTGAGATATATGCAACATTGTTACAATTTTGCTTATTTTTTTTAACTAATCAAAAATATTTAAAGTCTATCAAGTAAATTATCTATCCATTATTAATGGCATGCTTCAGTAAATATATCTCTTTGTTTAGGATTTGTCCTTTTTAAGAGTAAAACAGCATTAGTAAATGAAAATCAGATCACCAATACCTATAAGGAGCATCTGTGAAATATTTGGAAAAAAAAAATAAATGATAGTGTAATCAGAGAGTAGACCAAGAAAAGCTTATTCAGCTTCAAATGGACTGGGTATGAGCATTAATTCAAAAAGATCATTTTGATTGTATTGTGGCAAATGTATAAAACAGCATACAGTTTTTAAAATAATTTATCTAAATTGACATTTATTTGTTTATTGATTCTAACACTGAAGATAAATAGAAACAATTTTGTCATATTATGCTTTCTTATTCTTAAAATATGACTCAAATAAAAAAAAGAAATTATGCAGTTTATGGAGAAGACACTGCCAATGATTAAATACACCAAAAGTGATTAGTAAATAAAGATTATTATTTAAATTTAAGAATAATCAATGTTACATGATGCAGGTGATAGCCAACATGCTCAAAAGATCAAGTGTTGAAAATTACTTGTACCAGCTTAGTTTTATGGGAGTGAAATTATAAAGTTGCTGTATGGCTTCCATATAATTATATGTGAAAACCATTTTTTTTCTTAATCATTTCACCCCAAGCAAGGCATTGAAGCCACAAGTGGATACTGAGTGTAAAAGAATGTGAAAAAGAGAAAAACATTATTAAGAAGAGAGAACAATAAAAAAACAGGAATTAAAAATACAGATGATAACAATTGACATTACATTTTCGAAGATCAAAGTTAATCAGAAAGTCAGAAGCCAAAAAAGAATTCCACAAGCAAGAAGTGTGAGAGAAGAAACTATTAGCACTGAACTAATAGTTACATCTATCAGGTCATCCCATAAGTTCTGTCCAAATTTTGAATAAAGGAAACAAGTGACCAAATGTTACATTTAATTACAGATTCAATCAACAATGTACTTTCCCTGATTATCTATGACTTGCTTCCATCTATTAACAAGCTTACTAATTCCATTACTCAAATTCTTTTGGCTTTGATTCGAAGAACTCACAAATGTCAGTTTTAACCTCTTCCTGTGTTTCTTCCAAATGATTCTGTAAGCTACCAAACAAATGGTAGTCTGAAGGAGCAAGATCGGGAGAATAAGGTGGATGAGGAATTTTCTCGCAACCAAGTTCTTCGATCTTTTTTGATGTGATTCTTGCTTTGTGGGGTCACGCATTGTCCTGATGAAACATCACCTCTTTTCGATTCACTAGAGCAGGTTTTTTTTTTCCTCAAAGCTTGGTTCAAATGCTCTAATTGCTGACAGTATATTTGAGCATTAATTGTTGCATTAGGTGGTAAGAATTCAAAGTGGATTATTCCTTGGCGATCCCACCAGATGGAAAGAAGAACCTTTTGCCCATGAAGTTCCTTTCGGCTGTGGCTGGGTCCTTCCCTTTACCAAGCCACTGTCTATGACGCTTTAACATTTCGATAAAAGATCCATTTTTCATCGCCAGTCACAAGTCTATCCAAAAAAGGTGAAACAAGTTGGCGAGAATGGAGAGAAGAGCAGATGTCAACTCGGCATTTGAGGTTCTTTTCAGACAATTCATGAGGCACCCATTTTCCAAGTTTAGGAACTTTTCCAAGTTGTTGAAGATGATGATTAACAGTTGTATGGTTTGAACTGAGAACCACTGCTAATTCCTCAACTGATAAAGCAGGATTTTCTTCAAGGGCTGCTTCAAGAAGCTTTTCATCAAACTCAACTGGACGTCCGGTTCGATCTTCATCTTCAAGGGTGAAATCACCACCTCTGAATTTTGCAAACCATCTTCTGCAAGTTCTTTCATTCACACATTCCTCTCCATAAACTGAGTGAATGTTTCTAGCCTCTTTGGCTGCTGAGTTTCCTTTCTTGAACTCATAAAGCATTATGTGCCTCAAATGATTCTTGGGTACTTCCATGTTAGCAGGGTTTTAATCAAATAAAATTTAATTTTATTGTTCTCTGAAATAAAATTTGATCAGTTTAAATGCATCTAAACATAAAAATAATGTTCAGCTCCATTAGACATTATAAAATACTCTTTAAATTTTGTTCATTTTAACAAAAAGTTAAAATTCAGAGAGAACTTATGAGATGACCTGATAGTAATTTCAACTGTAAAATGATGAAACCTAGTTGCCAATCTAGTACTGCACTTAAATTTGTAAGGTCAAGGTACCAAAGTGGAAAGCTCATAAGAACAATTACCATGAAAATATTTCTAGAAAAGACACAGGAAGCTATGTTATGGCAGTGGGAAAATGACTTAAGTAGAGATGCCATCTCAGGACCAATAACATTGCAGATTCTATTTTGGATTTTATCAATAATCTCTAAATACATAGCAGAAGCAACAGACCAGATGTGGCAGAAAAATTCAATGCATAGATGAATGGTAGACTTGTAAATGTGCAAGATAGATTCTGGCGAAAAAAATTGTCTAGCACAGTGAACTAACTTTCCTAGTAGCAAACCTAACAACTGATTCAATATAATCTTTCCATTTCATGTCAGTAGAAAATATTAGCTCGAGAAGGCACACTGTGCATTCTCCTGGATGTTAGCATCAGCGATGCTGATTAAAGGCAAAAAAGGTTCTCTAAAATGACTAAAAAAGAGCAGTTTCATTTTGGAAGTGCTAAAATTTACAAGCCATTTCTTTCCTAGTTAACAATAGATTGTAAGTCATTTTTGAGATCAGCTGCCAATTTGACTCTATCGAACAGATCAGACTTACCATTGACAGGAGTAAATAGTTGTGTCATCAGCATTGATAACAAGTTGAGAACTGATGATATCAGGAGACAAACTTCAATCAGGTGCTCCTGATTGAACTTTGTCTCCTAATTTTCATATTAGGTTCAAGGATAAGATTCCTGGGAACACACGCATTAATGCAAAAGATCTAAAAGACAAGACAACCTTCATTTCACAAGAAAGATTGAATCAGATCACAGATTCATCCAGAAATACCATAACCTTTCAACTTGTGAAGAAGACCAGGATGCTCAACCTTGTCAAATGCTTTTGAGATATCCTAAGCAACAGCTGAAGCTTTACCATTCTCATCTAACACTTGACAGACTCTTTCAGCAATAACTGCTAACACATCAACAGTTGACCTAGAAAAGCGACAGCCATATTGTTACTTTACCTATTGGGCTATATTTTAGAGTGTTATTCATAACTTAAATATGACAAAAATGATTTAAAAGGAAAAAATAAATTATGATAATGAAAATTGGATATGTAAGAGATAATGGGTCAAAAAATGAATTATCACTAAGTGAAGAAGTTGATGCACATTACATAATGCACTTAGAAGAGCATAATATTTCATTAGGATAATGTTGTACTATATGTTTCTTTGGTAATCAGACAAATATTTTTTACAGTTTGGCTAGGATGTTTTCAATCATCGGGTCTATTCACCTGATATTTGGATTAGTATTAGATTTTGGTCTTTATAAAATTGTCTTAATGAAATAATTTCTTGAAAGCAACAAGAGAAGTTCTTCAGTCAGATATATAATAAATTTTAGGAGGATGGAACTGCTTGAAAAATGGTAGAAGATAATGGAACAAAATGATAAATATTGTTTAATAAAGTTAATATCAAAATTTTTAAAAGTAGTGTTTTATTGAGTAATCTAAAAATGTGTCAATAAAATATGAAATGAAGTTGTGTTTGCAATAAAATATAGCTAGCTATCAATTTCTAAGCTTATACAAGTTACTACCATTAACAAAAAGCTTTGATTCAATGCAGTTTTCTTTCAAATAATTTAATCTTATTAAGATTTTATTTTCAATGGTCTTGTTGGGAAAGGCAATATTTTGTATTAGTTATCAGGATGTACATGTACAGACATTACACAATAGTATGCAGAAATGAGGGGATCTTACTCATTATCACTGTATGCATATCAGTTGCCAAACAAGGATCAATAATATGCTAGAAAACAACTGAAGATTTTTACTGAAGCAGGTAAATTATGAACAATGCATTTTACTCTTCATTTCTATTAAAAATGATGACTAATATCTCATAATTTGAACGTAAGAGAAAACACCTGAAATTTTATGTTATTTTGTCCCAAACATTAATTGTTTTGTTATACTCATTCATTGCATTTTGAGATCACAAAGTTTTATTGGCCTATTCTTAAAATTTTATAGAGCTTAACTGTTCTTACTTCAAAGCCACGTTTTCCTCTCCACCACATGGTATCCTCAGGTGGTGGCTTGTCTATCACAGATACTATATCACCAATCTGAAAAAAAAAAAAAAAAAAAATATATATATATATATATATATATATATATATATGTATGTATGTATGTATGTATAGTATAACATGTATAGAATTCAAAGAAAAAATGTTTAAAAAAGAAAAATAAAGATGAAAAAGAAATAAGATAAAAAAGATTAAACTTAGAGTGATAAAATAAAAGTGAAAGAATGATTATATAAACATTGTATTTAAAATTGATTTATTTTCCCAACTATTTGCAAAATGTTAATTTATTTAGATAGCAGATCATATTTGATCATTATGGTATACCAATCACCTATAATTGATAGTAGACTTAGAACCCATATACCTTTATTTACTATGTAGATAGTAATTTATTAAAAATTTAAAAAAAAAAAATTCAATACTCATTGCAAAAACTGGTAACAAATAAAAAATTCTAACAAAGAAAAAGATTTACTTCATCCTTTTGAATAATACCTCAATAACATCTATTTTTGCCTAAAACTGAAAAATATTAAGGATTTTGACTGAATTTTAAAACTATTAAGAATCAATTCATTCAGAATGACAACTTCCCACAAATATACTTGTTGATCTATTCAACCAACTTATTTTTATAACCAGATTTCAAGCCCTATGGAAAAATATTTTTTTTTAATTGTTTGATATACTGATAAAATTACAATGCTTATATATTGTATTTGATATAAGACCCTTCCCCCATTCACATTTAGTATTATAGTAATATGGAGCTAGGTGAGGTACAAATACAAGTCATCTACAGAATCTGGGTAAACATTAGCATACTGGATACCTTAACTATATATATGATCCAGAATATATGTTAAAGTAATTTTTTGTGAAATTAGAGTAGATCTGTTTAATGTTTATGGGTACTGGCTACTAATGGCTAGGTTTGATTGGCAACTATACAAATGTACCTTTATGCAACAACCATAATTAGAAACATTTTTCTTACCCACTCTGTTTATCATCTTATCAAATATTTTTCAATAATATTCTAAGGGAGAATTTGAATAAAACTAATTTTGTAAAATGTGTAATTTATATGGGTGATTTTTGTGTTTATATATAAAATATAGCAAAATAGACTACTCCTTTATTCAGAATGAGTAGTTTTAATCTACATCATCACAAGCAATTCAAATGAGATAAGAGATATTAAACACAGAAGGAAAAAAGAAAAGAAACAAAGGCGATAATTGAGTAAAGAATAGTAACAGAATGAAGAAGGTGAGTGGAAACAATAAAAAGGAATCACAAATAAAAATAAAAAAAGAAACAACTGATATGTAATAGTGTCAATTTGAAATGGCTATTATAATAATTAGAAAAAATATTTCTTTATTTATTATTGTCTATTTTTTATTACACTTTCAGTAGAAAGAATCAACAATTATTTACCTCCAAAGAGATCTCATCAGCAGCTTGTGCATTGTAGCGTCTGATTGCATGAGCAGCAGCAATGGCAGGGGTGTTAATACCAGAATCATCCACAGCCAGCAGACGATTTCCACGATTGTCCATCTACAAAAAAGAAAAGAATGAATAATAAACAAAGACTAAGAAAAAAGACAAGAGATAAAAAGAAAAATGGTAGAGAATATGGGAAGAATTATTTTAAATTTATGAACTATTAATCTAGCCTATTCTGTTATATTTCTAATTATTTTATTTAAATATTACATCAAGAAAACATTATCTTTTAGGGTTATATAGAAAACACATTAATAAAAAAACACAATAAATTTTCATATTTATAGTACAAAATATGTAAACACTGAAAACTTTACACAATTGGTTAAAGCAAAAGAACAATTTATAGATTTGTTTATTTCTTCCAAGTTATGCATTATACAAAATTCTTAAATGATTTGCCAACATTTTTATGGCAGATATTTTTGAAATGCCTTAAATGTGAATGAATATTGAAATATTGTATATTAGATATAATTGATCAATCTCCAAGTTGGCCAAAAAGTTTGTTCTGTTTTTGCTATTAGATGACACAAGGAGTGTTTATGAAAAATGATCACTTCTGATTTAATGTAACAAGTATCAGCATGTAGCTTTTAAAAGAGTTTGTCAAAATTGGCATAGTTTTGTTTACTGATTCAAACAATAAAAATGGAAATAAATAGGCAGAAACTTTTGGCATATTATACTTTTTTATTTTAAAAAAGGTAAAAATTTTACTCAAATACAAAAACGGATATGAGTACTTTATAAAAAAGTTATCATGAATGATTGAACATATCAAAAGTAGTTTATAAAAAGTTTTCTGCTAGAGATTTTTTACTGATTATTGCTCCACAGCCAGATAGATCAGTTAATGTTGATAACAATCAAATCAAGACATAATTTAAGAATAATCCATGTTATATGTCATGAGAGATAACCAATATAATAAAAATATTAAAATCAAGTCATGAAGATCACTTGCATCATCAGGTTAATTATTTTAGTCAGTTTGATGTGTGGTTTGCATACCATGAAAAAACAAAACCTACTGGAGTGTGTTTCCATGTGCAATAATCTACTTAAACAAAATGAAAATGTTTCTCTTTTTAAGAAAATTTGAGAATGAAAAGTACATGCTTTAACAATTTAAAAGAGAGATTGTAGAACAAGCAAAATGCAAGATGATGTGGAGGTATAGTGCAGCACTAGAAAAGTGTCCTCAATGGTGAGTTTGTTCTTGTTAAGCAAATTATTGATTTGAGCAAGTACTACTGCCACTTAACTGAAGTCAGCAGCAACTAATGAAAAGTGTCTGAATTAGTTAAGAAAAGGCTTAATAATAATTAATATAGAATAATGCTAAATCACATTTCTTTGGTGACTAGGAAAACATTATTACAGCTTGGTGGGAAATTTACACTCATTTTTGTTGTACCTTCAGTTTACCATTGTAATTTTTACAATATTTTAAATTTTTAATGAAAAAAAAAATCATTTACAAAAGAAACCAAGAATAGTTCTTTGCTGATCAAAACAAAAAAATTCTGTGAGAATAGAATTATGAAGAAGTTGCCAGGAAGATAACAAAAAGTAAATATGGTTTTCAATAAAGTTAATGCTGAAAAGAAAAACTATATTATTTTTACTTACTAACCAATATGAATCTTTTGGCCACATAATATATTACATTTTATTTCCATATTAAAAATAAATAATGGAAAATCTAAAACTGTTTAAATATTTATATGCATCTAAGTCATAGAACCATAAATTAATAGAAACAATACTTTGGAAAGAAATACACAAAGTGCTGAGAACATTGAAGAAAATGTTTCAGTTTATAATGCTTTTCTTTTTTTCCTATCCTATTTATTTATGGAATTTGAGAAATGTATATAGTATCATATGAACCAGATAAAAACATTTAACAGAGCAGATCTTATTTTTGGTGCTAAAGTGGTTTGCTCAGTGAGGATTGTGTTCATCTATTTTGTCAATACTCTTAACATGATAATCTGGAACCTGTAACAAGTAACCTTAACATGTATTCAAAGATTTCCCTCCCATTTCTGCTAATAGTTCTGAATATTTTATAGAGTTCATAATTACCTCAAGCCAATTGAGAATGGACCCGCAGTAAATCATACTGCCTGCTATGGATGAGAATCGTTCCAGATATTTTTGGAGCAATTCTTGTAGTTCCTGGAAAATAAAAGACACAAAAGAAAATCATAGAATCAGAAAAGAGCAACAAAGAAAGAATAGAAAACTAGAGATCCTTAAAAAACATATAGCCTGAATTATTTATAAGAGGTTTATCTGCATAACAAATGATATAATTAGATAATTAGAATAGCAGGATAGTTTCATACCAATTCACTATCCTATTTATCATCTTTTCTTGATACAAGGGCTAGCTGTTTTGGAAGTATGCTTCACTGTGCTTCTCCAGCCTACTCTTCCTAAAGGCATGTCTTCTTTCGACTTCAATTTCTTGAGGTTGTTGCTGACACCTTCTCTTCAAGTTTTCTTTGGTTATTCTTTTGCTATGACATCTCTCACTACACTGCTTCAACCATGGATTGTTTTCACTATTTACATTATTCTGACTATTGTCCTCATCTTTGTTGCCATATTTATTACAACGTTGTATGCTCCAGCCTTCTTCAGGTGGTTGGAATGTTGAACCGAACCATTTATTTTGTTCACTGGGGTAGACTGTTCTAGTTCCACATGCCATGTTTAATGGATGTCAGTTACCAGTTATGTCCTGTTAATTCCCCTCTGAAAGTTCTCCACTGCCTTAACCAGGTATTGAACTAACACTCTTTGGGTCATGTCACTGGATCTGCCTTTATCCACTGTGCCATGTGTCCTTGAGGACATCTGGATATGAATTTCTGGGTATTATAAACCTAATGTCTTCAATGTCTTACCAGTGCTCATATTGCAATTTTTGCTGTTATCATTGCATGTTTTTACCAGAGCTCATACTGCAATTTTTGTTGTTATTATCGCTTTTCTCTGGCACTCCTTATTACTGGTTCCCATATTGTATTCATTTCTATGCTTGATTGGCTCAGGAGATTTTTGTGGCCTAGCATATGTGCTGATTCCTTAAGTTTACAAATTTTCCAACGGTGTTCTTTGTCTATGATCTCAACCTGATCCCACAGAAGGCGGTGATCTCCCTTCTCTCTCCATATGTGGTCAGCCACGCCTGATTTTTCCACTATCCTCTCGTGTTACAGCTTTCTGGTGTTCTTGAAGCCTTACCTTAAGGGGGCGGCCTGTCTCCCCTTTATATTTCTTTCCACAGCTGCACGGGATAGCGTACACACAGTCTTTAGTCATGTTCTCCTCTGTGGGGAGTCTTATTCGAGAGAGATATCTGTGAAGTGTTGTCAAGCTTTTGAAGGTTTTCCTGATGTTATATGGACTGCAGATCCCTTTGTATTTTCTCTGATAACACCTTCACATAAGGCAGGCAGACAGTTTTCTGAGTGTTGTTGTACAACGGCCAAAACGTTGTAATAAATATGGCAACAAAGATGAGGACAATAGTCCGAATAATGTAAATAGTGTACATAATACCTAGGTACCTCCACGAGATCGCTAAAAAAAGAGCATAGCATGATGAAAAAAGGCGCTAAACTTGGCCCGAAAACAAAATTTTATCGTCTAAATGTTTGTTATTATTAAGAGGAAAGGTCAAAGTATTTTTGGGGTTTTTTTTCCATTTTTTAATCATTCCTAGCACGTCCGAATTTTAGATTTAAAAATCTAGTTTTTTGAGTCAGCAAAATTGACAGATAATCGATTATGGCATCCATTTTTTTCCATTTTATAAAAAAAGATGAAAATCTCACTTTGAAATTCTTTTTAAATATCAATTATCATTTTTCAAAACTTATTTTAAGAAAATCAGAAATTATAATGTCTATTTAAAATATTTTGAACCAAACTTAACTTAGCTTCTCGCGAAAAAGATGTAATTTGAAAATAAAACAAAGCAGGTCATAAACTGCGTCTCTTGACATGTGATGAATGATATATTTCTGAATTCCATGAGGCTAATTTGTTCTACGGAAGGAGAAAAGTGAAATAATTTACATTTACGTGAACAAATTATTTACCCGTTATTTTAACGAAAACTTTCAGCAGCCTAATTTTTTTTTTTTTTTTTTTGTACTTAGCTTTCACCTTTACGTTTATGATGCTTTATGGGAAATATATTATAAAGAAATTAAAAATAAAACTGTTAAGAGTGACATTAAATTTCATATTTCTTAAGAAAGGTATCTAATTAATTTATAGGTACCTTTCTTATGAAATTTTATCAGAATTGTACATAAAATACTATAATTTTATGTACATTTATTACATTCTACTGTTATTTGTATTTGCATTCATTTTATTATTAATTTTGATATTTCATTTATGGAAAAAATGTCGTAACTGAGATTAATATAAAAATAAGATCATATAAATTTCATAAGATGATACTGATACTTGTAGGTACCCTTCTCAGTTGAAATTGAAAAATCAAATTAACTTCTCCCACGTGTTTCGCAAAAGTAAAAAGGCCTTAACAGCGGAGAACAATGCTTAACTCAAATAACATAACTTAATTATATTCTGGTTGGTCTTCCGTATTTTATAATTACAGCTCGATTATAAGCACAAAATTACATTTCTTAATTACTGGGGATCTTCTGATTAGTCAAAAATGATACAATTTACAGCAGCTAAAAAAGATCTCTCTCATAAGGACACTTATGAAACCCGTTTGACTTTTTAACTAATTTTATAATATTTTAACAACTGTAACAAATGTAAAATCTATTATAATTAATGAAATAACAAATAATTGTATTAAAATTCATTTTTCATCGAAAAAATTTTTTGCTTTCAGAAAATATTGTCCATATTCATAAAACAACTAAAAGCAAATAAAAGCATTTGAAATTAAATAATATCTTTGTTTTATTGAGTTTTGTATGTTACAATTTAGAGCTGATTTTCAGGTACTGCGTATCCAATTAAAAAAAAAAAAAAACATGATTTGCATTCCTCAAAGCCCTGTGCTTTTAATTATTGTAATCACTAAAACCGATCGAAAATTTCTAGCATTTTCATAAAATTAGTTATGGGGGGGTAATAAATATTTTAAAAAATATTTCTACCATGACTTTCATAAAAAATAAAAAACATATTTATAATAATTTCGATCATCTGTGAATAGTTCCTGAAAGTTTCATTAACATCCGATAATTATTTCTATTTTTGCACAATTTTCAAATTAATGTGTGTCATACCAAAAAAACGTGCTAAAAATTGTCTATGTTATTTACTAGTTCGCTTGATACAAATAGAAAAAAGGTTTTTTTAATCAAAATTTAGAATGTTCTAAAAAGAAGGAAAATTTTTAAAAATAATTAAAAAAAACTTTGGTCTTTCCTCTTAATAATAACATAAGCATTTAGACAATAAAATTTTGTTTTCGCAAGGTTGGCGTCTTTTTTCATCAAGCTATGCTTTTTTTTTAGCGATTTTTTGGAGGTACCTAATACCTCATCTCAGAAATATAGACAGATACTGAATGGATTGTTTTGTTGTACAATTTCAAACTATCATAGTCTTTGGGCCGTTATAGATAACAAATCCATGGGAGGGATACCCAGATGTTAATATATTGACACCAAGCTCACTCTGTCAGCAGCTTAACACACCATATGAGAGAATGATCATTTTGTACCAGATATAACTTGTCCTCAGCATACATAATCCAAGATTTTTCAGTGTAGGTTAAAGCACTAAGAACACACGAGTTGTAAGCATTGCATTGAGTGCAACAAGTGATGCAGCAGTTTGTCAATATGGGCAAAGATTCTGTAAAATCCCCAAGTAACAGAAAGAGTGAACTTGCTTAACTTTATGATTGTCTACCAGCATTGAGTCATAAGGATATTTATCAATAAGTCTAGGAAGGTCATAACATCTGCCACATCTTAAGCTAGCATCCTCAATAAGTTCACTATGAAAAGCCACTGTATCTCCTGTGAACCCAATGATTACAACTAGAAAGAGTTATTCCCAATGCTTGACTGACAGACATCACCTGGTCATTTCCAAATTAATATAAAGTTGTGGTTGTAAAGAAAAGACTGTCAACTTATAATAGCAACAAACGTCTGCAATAGATTTCTTCTGTCTCTCGACCACAACACTTGTAGCCAAATCACAGTTGAAATGATAGCTCATCATAACAGTCCAACAAGCAGCGTATAAATGACAAAATGGGGTCACACGTCCAACCTTCACTTATCACCAGCAAAAACGCATGTTTGTCTCCCGAGCTCAGAAAATCTCCTGCCTTTATAAGCAAAGAACAACAGCTTTTGTTCACTGAGAGATCTTTCTGATTGGTCACGCTATTCAAGGGAGGGAAGAACATTAGCATAGATTCTATACCTTTTCAACTTCAAAATGATAATAATCAACTTCAAAATGGACTTATTTTCAAGTAAAAATAACAATCAACTCCAAAATGGATTAATCAACTTCAAATTGAGAAAATGTCAAAAACCTAAAAACAATCAACTTCAAAATAAGAATATACAACTTCAAATTGAGATGTTTTTTTTGGTAAATTGAAAATTATTTTTTCAATTAATTTACCCCATGAGTAAGGAAATTGACTGTTCGTCTTCATTATATAGATGAAGAACAAACCAAAATACAAACAACTTAGAGGCCAAGAAAGCATTGGGTGAGCCTACAGTAAAAGTAGGAGGAGAAAGTCCCGTATGGGCAAAAATGATGATTGATGATGATGCTGGAGAAAAATTAGCAACAGAAACATTTACCTCAAGAAAACTGTGACTGGCAAAAAAAAAGGCCCAGATTTTAGCTGCACATACCGCAGCAGGAAATTGAAAAGACCTGGCAAGAACAATTGGTGTGCCTCTGCCAATAGCGTACCGTTGGTTAGACCAGGGTGCTGATAAAAGTGACTCTAGGGAAGGAGCAAGAAAATATAGAATTATGCAAGAGCATAAGAATTTTATGGCCGAATTAATTGAAAACTCTCCTAGGGTCACTCTTCAAGACATTGTAAATAAGTATGAGGTTCGTGTGATGAAAGAATGCATAAGAAAGCACTTGGACTCCATGGCCTTTACTTTAAAAGTGGTTCATTA